CCGAGCGAAAATCCGTCGACAACGGAAAGGGCAGTCTATACGTTGCGAAGGCGTTATAGGTTCCGTGTAGCGACCCAGAGCGTGGCCACCACCGCACGGCGCGCCAGCACGTGCACTTGTAATACTATGCACGGCGGCTAAGCGGGAAGTACTATATCGTAACCGACTTCCGTCGTTATTAACACACGTCAGAACTGGCTTTCCGCGTGTGATAAGCACCGGGTACAAAGTGCAACGATTAAGGGAACAGTGGAAGCCGTATACGTACACACGGTTCCCGTGGAACGGTAGCGATTTTCGCTTCGGGTTTATACATACGTACGTCCGAAAACGGGACGCTTATGATCGTCGAGGTGACCGAACGAGACGGTAGCGGCTCGAGCGTTAACCAGACGCGCGTGGTTAACCAGCTATGGACGATCAAACTCCTCGAGTGAAGACGGTTAGGTCGTATTTATTTCCGAGTTCGATTTATTCTTTTAACAGAGGTGAATAGGAGAACAGCCTTCAATCGACGAAGAACAGTCGCGTTGGTACGGCCGCGAAGCGGTGGCTTAAACGAACTATCGCGTGGTCGTTCCACCGACGCTTATAGTTGGTAGACGGCGCTATAACGTTTCCGAAGGTAAACGAAAAAGAGAAGGAAACGATGCGGCGACGGCGGCGGCGGCCAGACTCCGAAGCCAAAGTCGAAAAAGGATGGCGGAGATAGAGCTCGGAGAGAAAGGGTAAAAGGTAGAGGACGAGGAGGGGAAGGGCGGGGAGGTAAAAAGAGAAGAGTAGTGACAAGGGGACAGAGAGGGGCCGCGGTGCGGTGAGCACTACAGGTCGGTATATAATAAGACAGGCAGGAGGATAGCACTGAAATGAGGTGGTTTCGTCGGCAGCTTTGTCCGGCGCCATGTTTAACATAGCACCACCTCATCTACGTGCCACGCCAACCCGCCACTCCGTAGTTCCTCTGTTTTTACGCACGCTATCGCTCTCACCCTCGTTCTCCTCCTTCTTCAGCTTCTCCGCCACCGCCGTCTCCGTTTCGTCCTTATTCCCTTTCCAATTTCCTCCGTTGCTTTAAACCGTCGCGATAAAACGAAATGTTAAAAAGAAACCTCGATGACACAACACGAAAATCGCGCTTTTTTTCGATCACGACGATTAATCAGACGTACACGTGCGATTCGGAGGATCGTACTGAAACGTTAAACGCAGACCATAAAAGATGGACAACGGACGGTAGTTCGTGTACCTTACACAGGTATTTTTCGCGGTGCAATAAAGAACCGACGAGCCCGTGTTGTCCATCCGCGGAGAACGGTTGATCGAGTGGCGAAACTCGGATGCAAAGAAAAAGAATTAGAGAGAGAGGGAGAGAGAAAAGGAAAAGGGAAACGACGGACCCAGATTCCGCGAAAAATCTGCATCGCTCGTAGGGTGACTCAGTACCAGATCTCCTTGAGCGTTTTACGAGTGCAAATATCGTCGTTCCTATCGGCTGCCCACCTTTCCATCGTTCTACCTACGAGAGGTGCTCTCTCTTTAGATCTCTTTTTTCCTCTACTCTATTTCTTGTCCCGTCTTTGTCGGTCACGCTCCGAGAGACGGACGCGAGAGCAACGGGTGTTAGAGGCTACGAAACGTTTCATTCATGATTCTTTCGCCGCTCCGACCGGAACCCGGTGGATTGTTCCACCCTCCGCGTCTCGGGAATGAATTACCTTTCCACGGAAAGGGCACGCTACGAGCCGGTGCTCGAGCAAACCGATCGGAAGGCAACGACGCCGAGGCATTACGTAAAAATTCATTTCCATGACGGAGGCCTCGACGACGTTTTCCTTGACCGGGACGCAGCGGTGGCAACGATCTCTTTCTCGACGCTCCTTTTTTTTTTTCAATACCCGTTTATAGAGACACATTGTGACCAGCACAGCGACTTCTCGTCGTCGATCAAATGGGACTTATTTTTCTTGTTTCGAAACGGGGGAGCACAATTAATTTTCGGAGGGGACACCCGGTGTTTCGATACTTCTGAAAACTTACGAGAGACGAACACAGGCGATCTTAATCGCAATCGTCGTGAGAATGGAATGTCGCTTGTTACGAACGGGTTGGGCTACAAAAGGGCATGGCTGGGTCGATAAATGCTGAAGGCTCAGTGATTTTCTGAACGACGACGACAACGACGCACGTCGCCGGCTCGTTCCTCGGAACTGGTTGCATTACTTGGGCGGAAACGATCGATCTTTACGGTAATATCTCCCTACTGGTTCGCGATTCGGAACCAGAGACGAGTATCGGGAGAAGCAGAGTACCTAATTAGGCGTAGACTCTGAGATCCTCGGAAACTTGACCCTCCCCCGGCGGATGCTGGGTCAGTTTGACCCAATGACAACCGGCTAGGTTAGAGATCTGCAGTGGTTCTTAAAATCTACTGCAGAGTTTAGGAACCCTTACAGAACCCTTCTTTGAGGGTTGATTATAGCGTAATATGGGAAGTTTTTGGACAAAGAATTCATCAATATTGGCTTCAATCGATGGCTACAAGAAAGATGGAACTGTATTCCCCAAGAAGGAATCAGAATTTAGATAAGTTGTTACCATTACTTAAAAAACACATACATTGATTCGTGCCAGAGGTGGCACCACTCGCTTCTGAAGTGACTCGGGATTGTGAAAGAGGTGTGAACTACGTAAAGATAAATGTTCCAAGGAGCAAAGTGTTGCGTTTTCTTTTGCCCATCGATGGCACACCTCGATTCATCGTTGCGACGATGTCGACAATGGTTTTTTTTCCCGTTTCCCGCGCGAATACGTTTCGCCGCGATTCGATCGGAGAAATAATTATTTTCGCCGCGAGTTCTCCTTTCGGACAATACGCCGTCGAAAGGAACACGGGCACCGATAACGAATGTACGCACAGCACGAATCGCTGCGTGGTGATACGCAACGCACGACTCCGGTATCGGCCGGGGTCATCTTTCGGACCGAACCGACGATTCATTCATAACCGGGAAACTTGCGCGATAATGTCCTCGAGTCGCGTCGTTTATCGTATCGAATACGAGAATAAATGAAAATATCCCCGAAGAAGCGTTGTTTTTCAACGATACCCCGAACGATCGTGGCTGAGCTCGATTTACACGGTGACCTTCCTTTTTTTTTTTTGTCTTTCTTTCCAAGCGGATTCAATGCGTCGAACGTATAATCCCGAGAGCACGTCCAGGAGGCCGGTCGGATGGAGAAATTCAACGGCTGTATTTCTTAATTATCACGGCGAGAGAAAAGAAAACGCCGACACGGTCCATTCATTCCACGGATTGTTAATGGGCTTCCGACACTGATGATCTTAACTGTGACGTCCGACACCGTCGTTTGAATGCCTTGGAATTCCTCGGCGAACGCGCGCGGTCCCTCCTCCTCACCGCAGGCGAAATCTACCGCGGTCGGATCGTTCGTCTAATCCCCGAAAGAGTGGCGGCCTCTGCAAAACTCGCGACCAGCCGCGGCGAAACCGGCAATGTGCGTCAATCGACGAGGAGGTCTTGAGCAACGGAATGGGAAATAAGTGTTTTACGGGCGCGTGGCGATTCACGTGCACGTCCATACTTATGATAATGATCTGTGAACGCAGCTTTCCCCTTGGGTACGCAAGATTACAGCAAGCTCGTCGGACAATTCCGAACGCATAGTCACACGACCGGAATAGAATTCGATTCTTTGAGCGGAATATACGGTGGTAACGCGAAGAAACGAGTCTTCCAGAAATATAAATTCGAACGGATCGTTGAACCAACGGGGGGGAGGGCTACGCAGAATGACCAAGGGGTATGTTTAGAAGAGTCGATGAAAAAGGGGGTAAAGCTCGACGATATAGGGATACAACAGGGTGATTATCGTTGACATTCGCTATATATAAGGTGTTACAATTTGGACCTGATCGACTTTTACAGAAATAAAAATTACGTTATCCCGATCGAACCGTCCGGTTGTACGTCATCCTCGCTGGTTGGACAGACATCGCGCGTGTTCGGTGTTTCGGAGTCGAAGGCATAAAGGCGGTAAGGAGAGCGAGTTTGGTAGAAGTCCCAGGAGGGACAAGACGAGGGCGGGGAAAGCGGGAATGGAATGCGCGGCGCCTAGGGCTCGTTGAATTCCAGGGCCACACGTGCCCTTCCCCCTCGCCTCAGGGCACCCACCGCTGCCAATAAACTTCGCCTGCGGCTGGCACTCGCGGCCGCCGCCACCGCCGACCACCATAGAACTCATTCATGGGGACCTCCTATCACGCGACGGGAACGGGTTCGTGACGATGCGACGCGCGTGATTTCACGCTGCTGCCATCCAACGACGTTCGATGGAACCACCGGGTGAACGCGCCCACCATCGTATCCGCGGGAAAGATAAGTTTTTTTTCTTCTTCTTTCCTTTCTACACACTTGTAGAGACCGTGAAAAAATGTAGATATCAAGGATTTGTCACGTTCTTTCACAAGGCCTGTGAAAGTTGCTAAACCGGAGGATGGGTTCTAAAATCGCGATCGAGCTAATTTTAGGGATTAACCAATGCGACAAGAATGCCACGGTTTACCCAGAGACTACGTTCTCGCGGTTGTCGGAGCGATCCTTTTAACCGTTTAATGATAACTAAAATCCGTTACCCTGCTAACATTGCACTTAACCCATCTGATTCGCGTAATGAGTTGAATAGGCACGATTGATCCCAGGCGAACTATTTCAGTTTATACGCATTAAAGGCTGATGGAAGCGACGATGCAGCGGCGGCCGCCGCACGAGCGATGCTGTGCGAACATCGCTTTATGGAAATCGGTTATTCGAACATGTTGAACATGAATTCTTGGATAAAAATACTTACGATAGATATAGATTTTTCTGCTTGTATTATCGCCGATGCGATAATAGTTCTGATATTTCCTTATCTCGTGATAATTTACACGCTTTTCTGCGTATTCTGCTTAGTTCGAGTAACTTGAGCGTGTCACTTACCTTGCGTTTTCGAAAGTTGCTGAAGCGCTGCTTCCCACCGCAGCAAAACCGACTCCAACTGCCAGTCCTTCGGGTATATTGTGTACCTAAACAGACAATGAAAGTTAGGCATAAGAGAATTTATCACGTTGTTTTGTATATTACGTATGATCAAGTGATACGCACGGTAATGGCGACGACGAGTAACAAGACTCTCCTCCACTGATTGTTTTTCCGTTCGTTATTCAGATCTTCGTAAATTGCTTCGTGTTCATCTGTATCTGTCGGTCTATTTATACTTGTAATTTGCCGTCTTCGAGTATTTTGCTCGTTGAAACCTGTAAACGCGATGTCAACGGAAACATTAAAGTACAACGTTACAGCGATGGCGATAAAAAATCACTCGAACCAATGAAATGACCCATTGCTTCCAGACCAAAGGCACTCTTGTTGTATTTTGTGTATTCTCTTTTAAAACGAAGCACAGTGCAGCTTAGTAATCTCTAAACCCGGTAATCTCTTATCAACCTTTTTTTGTTTGTTCGTTAGATCCGCAGGCAGGATTAATAAGATCAGTTTCTAAGAAGCGTGGAACTTGTTTAAACACAAACCACAAGTTAATCCCCTCAACAATAGGTGTCATTAATTCGTGTAATTGATCTATTTCAATGGCGGTGACATTTTCTGTTTCGATGGTGATTAGTTACACGTGCAAGAAGTGCTAAGACGCGGCTGGAATTTTCCTGATTCTGTGTTTGTCAGTTCCACACGTTGTTGTAGAAACACTTTACATGCATACGCTACGATAGTTTGTACAAGTTTTATAAGTGCCAAGCAGCTAACAGGCACAAACGCTTCCATTAATTATTTTCCACAGAAATACAAACAAATTAGACACGATAGAAAAGACGACGCATGTTCCAGGAATAAGCAATAATGAATAATGTTATCGATATAGTCGATGAAACCATATTCAAAATATTACGTTCAGAATATAGAAATGCCACGTTTCTTTCCTATAAACGTGCTTCTTTCAACAATCGGGTCGCTATCTCCACCACATTTTGGAAATATAAATTCGTTTCAAGTTTACGAGTAATACCTACACTTTTATTTAATTATTATAGAATTCACAACGCTAAGGGGATGTGCATTATAATGTACGAGTTATAGTGCGTGATTATTACCTTCAATAATCTTAATAAATTCAATAATCTCAAACGTTCTCTAGTAGTACTAGCTAAATTTCAATGTTAAGATTTAAACTTTTATACTGTATTTTTACAACAATTACTGTTCTACTATAATGGGAAGGAATCTAAGCAACGAGACAAAAATGACTGGCCAGACCGAAATGGCACATCTATAGGTAGATAAGATTGTACCAAAACGCGTGTATACGAGGTTCTTATTCCTGAACAAGCGAACTGTGTGCTGTATACGAAAAAGCGAAGAGGGGCAAGTGACATTTACACATGGACAATAAACAAAGACACGCGTGTCGTGAACTGATCCCATTTTCCAAGCCTACAGAGAGAATTGGATGTGTTACAAGAAAAAAGATCAGATACCATCGATGGTCGTCGACTCAAATTGAGTATATACATTTCCACCGGAAATCTGTACGTCGTAATACGGATCATAATCGTTTAAATCCTCGTCACTCTTTAGTTTTGCATTTCATTAGGGGACTGAAGGCCGAGGGAAGATATCAACACGTCCGTCCCATACACAAATGCCGCGCCAATGAGAAATCCAACTCCGACCGGTACGAATACGTATTCGCCGTCCGCCCCGTACATTTTGCTCTCTGTCGCCATTTCGATAGCAGGTGCCAATAGGGACCAGTAGCTAGCAGCTATCATTACGCCGGCCGCAAATCCCAGGCTGATGTCCAACAGTTTACGCTAAAACAGAAACGAATCCACAGGTTCTTTAGATGATCCCTTTCACTGAATACCCTATCGCTGCGTCTACGAAGCTATCCAGTTTACAAAACAAAGCTCGTAGAAGTCGCGAAACTCGCTGAACCTTGAGGCTATTAACACAGATCAGATTTCTCTTTCGAAGCGGTTAAAAATCAGCGGAGTTTTTTTTCGTACCGTTTGGAATGCGAGTAAATCCCACGATGTACACATGAAATTAGTTTGTTCGTGACGACAAGCGGACGTTTCTGTTCGCAATCGTTTAATTGCGTCTAATCTTATCAAATAAAACTTTAACAACAAGCAACTGTTGGTACCTATTCACCAAATCGGAAAACGCAAACATTGTTCGATAATGCCGAGTTTCGAGATCGACTCGATTTAAATTTTCAATTTATTCAAACGTTAAGTATAGCTTGAACAACTAATAAACTAAGCACATAAATTACTGATGCATGACATATGCAAATGTTATTTAAATTGTAACCTTCGGAGACTACTTTTTTCAGAAACCTGAATCAAGTGTATTAGGTAAAAATACATTTAAACTATTCCAAATTGGAGCTTGGAGGTCGTAACGACACAAAGAAAATTTATGCACAAAAGGAATCAGAACCGGCCAAAATGAAGAGGATAAATGTCACGGTTAACAGACAATTTCTTTCAAGGTCCTGTTTTTTGAGATTTTATTTAAATTTCTCCAAACAGGATCTCTATCGTTTATGAATAATATTATATATTGTAACGATACGCGGAAATCTACATTACGAATATAATTTTCAAAAGAGTATCACACCCATCACGTTCCATCGTAACATTTAAAAGAATTACCGTTCAAGATAAACGATTTTTCAAACGGGCGACAGTTCGCGCGATGGGAGATGGGAACAGGTAAGGTTAGAATACTCTTGGCAAAAAAGGTTAGGAACGAGTGCACTCGTAACATCGATAAACTATCACTAGATATGTGGCGCAGTGTTGTCGCTTTATCAGCATTATCGAATTGGTTTTTATTAAAAAGTGAGAAAAACTTACCTGTTTTCCCCGAATCACAATTACGAGTGCGGCACCCGCTGCGGTCAGAGCCCACGTAAATAACGTTCCCAACAACGCCTGCGTGATCTGCGAGTAATCCCTCAACATTGTATCGTTCTTCTATGTTCCACACCTTTCGACAAGTTTCGCTAACACATCCTTTGAGGTGGGAATGGTTCGCGAGAACTTGTCTCGTCGAACAGAAAATCTCGTTGACGTGCACTCAGTCCCCCGTACTTATCTTAATCACCACCACCACCACCATCGTAGCCGGCACTACGTTCACCACTCTTCCTACTACCACTAGCCTGGCGACTAGCGCGCGCAACAGCGTTCCTATTGCCGCTTTAACGCCACTAATACACAAGAACAATAATACGTAAATCTATTCTCCGACTCGCGATTATCGTATCCAACGATCCCTCCAGTTCCCTCCTTCTTCAAACAGGGTTGCATGTTTAATGCAATTTAATGTGGAGCGCAGCAATTTACAAGCCACTTCCGGCTATCGACCAATAAGGGGCGCAAGAAGATTCACCAATCAGATGACGGTTTGGTCACGGTCGCATTATTCGAATATGATATCGCAATTCCATTACTACTAAAACACGATCCATGGATTTTTAACATTTTTTAATTAATCCCAATCGAACCAGATTATTCATTGAAGCTTTCGCATTAACCTTGTTTATTAACATTTACTGATTAAGGCATTGATTAATTAATATTTTACCGTTTCAATAAACCGTATTTTTAAAATCAATTATGGCGCCACCTAGCGGTTAGATGTAACTCCTAATGGACTAAGACGGCAATTCACTATAAAGTATTTATTAATAAACCCATTAAGGAATAAATGTTAATAAACAATGTTATATTATGTGTATAACAAATTACATTTGTTATATTATTTAATTGCTGAGCGTTTTTGGCAGGTTTCCTCGATCAAAATAGTTGTAGTATAGTCTAAGTAAAGAATCCACTATTAGTAAAAAAAATCGATTATCGATTAGCGATTTTTAGAAACGAATCGATTTTTTAACGTTTTTCCGTGGATTTTTTTTCTCGCTAAGTACGAGATTTAAAAGTAAAAATCGTAGATTGTTATCCAACAATTGTTAATGGAAAAAAATTGCATCAACATTCCTAAAATTACAATTGAGCCGAGCGTTACCCCTATAGGGACCATATAGGACCGTATACGGTCATAAACTGATCGATCATGAGTAAATCGATTTGCAGTTGTTTCCGGTTGAGTTTCCTTTTCGCCGCGGACAGAAGTTGAAGTTTAAAAGACATACATCAAGTCGTGATAGTTTTATATAAATAAAATACAAATAAAACAGTGTTTCGTTTAAAAACAGTGACGATATACATGTGTAGAAGCAAACTGTAACGCCATTTGAATGCGGTGGATTGTCGAAATAAAAAAAGATGACGTTTCTTGCCGTCCCGTCAACGTGCTAACATGGCGTCTGCGTCGGTAGGTGCACGGAACATTTCAATATATTCAATTCTATTTAATACGTCGACGCCAAGTTTTTTGGTTGTAACTTTATTGTATCGGTTTACGTCAAAGCGTAATTTGTGTATTGTTATTTAACACTGAAGAACTTGACGTTTCTTTCGTTCCCGTATCGGACTACTCGTTAGTGACGTTCGTGAGTTTCCGTACGTATACTAAGCACATTAATATATGTTCAAGTCGGTATATATCATTATTCTTTACAGACGTCTACTATATATATTTGTATACATGTTTTTCCATGAGTAATGCATATTTTTGAGTGACATCGATTCAGTATTCTTGTTTTTTGGTTATACTCTGTATTTTCTTGTATTGTTTATTTAGACTGTATGCTAGAATACTATATAGACTGTCAACCGTTTAGATAAACTTTTAGGTACAAGAACTGTTAGAGTTATATCATACACTTCTTTAAAATTTCCATCATTTTATCATCAGGTCCCTTTGCTAATGGATGACGATACAATTGCATTTGGGGAGGAGGATGAGACTAACCAAAATGCTGGCAAACTCAAGTATATAGTTCATAAGATAGTCTCATAAGTTATTTAGAATATAGGCTTTATATTGACAATACTTTCAATTTTTCTAGACATCCATACGTTACCTTATTTCATCTAGCCTTCAGAGCTGCAGCAATTGTAGTTTATATGTTGTGTGGGTGGTTTTCGAATAGTTTCATAGCTAGTTTTGTAACAGTGGTATTACTATTGTCAATGGACTTTTGGACAGTGAAAAATATTACTGGAAGGCTAATGGTTGGTCTTAGGTGGTGGAATTACGTGGACGATAATGGGAAAAGTCATTGGGTATTTGAATCTAAAAAGGTTTGCTGTATTCTTTCTTAATAGATTTATGTCTTTAGGAATTAATGCTCGCTTAATTGAAAGTTACATTCATTCTTTAAGAACAATTAAATTTAACTACACAGAATATTCCAAGGACTACCAGTTTCCACATTTTATCTCCTTGACTGTATCTATTTAAAAATATTTGCAATTACCCGAGAATGTAGTATTGCACCATTGTATGTAAAATAATATTACCAGGGATTCCAAGCACTAGGTGTAAAATACAAGGTCTACTATGTACCCTGTGTTTCAGGGTGTTCAACAGAATCGGATAAATATCACGGAAGCTCGTATCTTTTGGTTGGCTTTAATTCTCTGTCCAGTTTTGTGGTCGATATTTTTCGTGATCGCTCTGTTCGGCTTGAAATTTAAATGGTTGCTACTCGTTTGCATCGCGATTGTATTAAATGGCGCGAATCTGTACGGATACGTAAAATGCAAAATGGGAAACGATAAAAATATATCTATGGCCACGAGCGACTTTCTCAGGAAACAAGTCATACAAAATGTTCGTAGATGAATATACTATAGCTTTCGAATATTCCGTAAACACCGTACGGTGTATAATAATTACTTTATCGTAGGTTGCGTCAATGATGACCAGAAGTCCCCCAGCGAATAATCCAAACGGACCGACCAATGTGATATAAAGCTCCGAGTCACAGCTTCGATATTATTTAAGGAAACTATAGCCATATTCGGCAGTGAGGAATGCGATCCTCCGCATTAGAAATAAACATTTGTACATAACGATAAGATAATTGTCTGTTTAAGTCGTAACAGGATACTATAATAAATCTGCTATTTAAAATATCGTCCCTATTTTTTGTTTTCGTGATTTCCTATAGAATAGATAATGATGTAGAGAAGCTACATTATGTTAGTTATTAGTTTATTGATGCCACAGGGCAATACATAATGTACACGTTATTTCTCCTTGTCAACAGACTTCCTATTACACAATATTTAATTTGCATAGGTGTTAATTAGTAACATTACATTTATCGTATTCGCTTTAGCCTGTTGTATTCTTTCTGGCAAGAAAGTATCACAAAATAATTTCCCATTCTTTCAACGATATTTAGATTCGACATATTCTTTGTCTCTCTTTTTTTTTTATTTTTGTTTGTTCACCGTTGCCGCGGTACCGGATGACCATGGACCGTTCATCGTCACCGAGCGAACGAACGCCGGTTGTGATCCTTACGCGCGGGTAACGATCTCGACGTAATATTGCGCGGCGGAGCTTGGATCGGGGGCCGATTTGATAATTCGTTTGTTGTTTCGAGACTGCTCCGTGTGAACGCGGGCTCGCGTGCTTTTATTCGAAGAAGAATACAACAAACCACGTATTGCTATACATTCTGGGATATAAAAAAGAAACTTATAAACATTAATAACAGACACGCAGCTAAGGTACAACATACGTAAAAAGGTCGTTGGAATGATAGAAAAGAACGTAATGGCGTTTTACGATCATCGGTGTCTTATAAATACATATACGAATATCGTGGACTTCTTCGTATCGGTAAATTCATCGAATACAATTTAATGCTACCAACTTATAACTAGTAATATATTTATACAATCGTTTAATTTCGCCTCGCGTAACGTATTATAGGTCCCTTTTGTCAGTTGTTCAAATATGCATGGATAAAAATCGAATTGGTCGAGCAACTAACGCCGAAATGGCAGAGATATCTACAGGCAAAGAATTCGTTTCCTAGAGCAAAATCTTTCTGAACAGTTTCTTATTATCGTTTCGAGGAGTGTTATCTTCTTGATAAACCTTCAATTTTTGTTTCTCAGCCTTGTTAACGACCAAAGAAAGGCCCGTGGTAAACGTTACGTAGTAAATGTTATCGATACTTTAAAAACAAATGCATTCGAGTTTGATTCCGGTGAGTGTCTATTACCAATTGTACTCTTTCAATAATAGCACACAGTTTCCCCTCGACAAAAGGTTGTAACGTGCACGGGAATCGTGTGGTGGGTGTTAAAATGTTAATGGAAGTAAAAGGGGAGGGGGTCAATCGTTTTCGCGTGTAACTCTTCTGTGCTCACACCAAAGGCCAGTTTATTTCAAAGAATCGTCGGGAATCGATTGTTGTCGCGTATAATTAAAAAAAATGAATGAGAATCGATACCAACTGGACTAATTCGATCGATCAATGTGCACCGCGACCGAAACTTGTAGAACGGTGTCACGAAGTTCGAATGGACAATGAGATACAATGATTTTTTAAGCAATTTATCATTTAACGATGTTCAAGCTGTTTAACTACTTTCACAAGCACTGACAAATACGTATTAATAGATTAGACACTATGGCCTTCAGTCTTACAACATGAAATAAAATAATACGGAAACAATGGGGCACGTAAAAAGTCGTCAATGTAAATCTCGTGTAAAAAATATCTGTGCACGCAAAACCCTCGTGCAGAAGAACGAAAATAAACCTTGTACAAAAAGTTAAAAAAGGCAGTATCAAAGTACATATACATTAAAAATAAGAAGCGTTAGAACGAAATCTTACGAATACGTAACAACGTGCATTCCGGATAAAACATTTCATATATATATATTTATTCATTTATTTATATTTATATATTTATATAATGCTGCTAATGACAGACGGTGCATTTATGTACACTTAGTCACAATTCCTGACCCTCGAACCACTATGAAATGAAGAGGGGAAACATTTTAAACGCTCGATTCGATAGCTCGGAAATGTAAAAAATCGAATGTGCAAAATTAATACTGACTTTTTCTATAACGAGTGCGTGCGCGTGTGTATCGTACGATCGTTGCCAAATGAATGCCGAAAACCGTGTAGAAGATCGTTTTCCCGTTCACAGGAGAGAGTACACCTCGTTATCATATATCATATACTTACAATACTTTAGTAAATAGAATTTTACGTTCTACCCTATCGAACAGTGATAGAACGGCTCTATACCGAACAATACGATGAAGATTTTTCGAAATATAGAAGATATACAAACGAGCACATGCTTATTGTCTTCATAGACTACGAACTTTGTTTTGTAACTCCTCGAATTACAATATACAATTAATATACGTCGAAAGTTTCTATTCGTTATCAAAAAGGATATATAACACGCGGGATACCGATATTCGGTCATTTTACCGCTGGTCTTCGGCAATGATTTGGCATTAACTGTGCTGGGTGTGGTTGAGATTCTGCTAGTCGCGAGATTCGTTGATTCTAAGGACCTCTGGCTCCCTCCGATTATAAACTACCAGCGCCTGATAAATTATACCGCACAAACAAGTTTAATCTCCAGCACGGAGGAATGGTAGGATGGGGGTAACTCAGCTTGTTGCGCGAACCGAGCCAGGAATGATCGAAGTTGGGACGAACAGTTAGCTCGAATAACCGGGAGAATCGTAAAAGTCGTCGAGGTAGAAGCCTACGGTGGTGTGGAACTTTGTACACGAGGGTGTCGAGGGCTCGGGGGAACAGTACGCAAATCCGACATACAGCGTTTCTCTCTAGTTTAAATTAGTTCTCATAGAAACCCTGCACAACACTGCTTTTTTTGTGCATTTCAATTGAATATAGGCACCGTTTCCTTTCATTCTTCCATCATTCAAACACCGAATTTCCATATTTATTCTCTCTCCCTCTAATGGCATCGCCTTATACCCTAATCTTAAAACAATCGCTTACGATCTACTTATAAATTACAGTAGGTAATGAGAAGATCCCTATCGTGCGTAATGGGCTCAGCATGAATAATTGTCGATTTGGCAGTACGGTAATTTTCTCGTCAGTGAGCGGAAATTCACGTCATTCTCTCTTGTCTCGCAACACTTATTACAGATATCCTTGCAATTTTTCTGTACCGGAATATACCTTTCGTCGCATCGATAAGTACTGTTGTTTTCTTCTTTTCGTTTCTTCTTTCTTTTTTCGAAGAACGTGCCACGGTCTGCTCTCGATTATCCTAATTTCAACACGGCCACGAGGGCGTAAGCTTCACGCGTGTATGTGTTGTATTGTGTTTGTGTCGCTCGCTGTCAGACATTGCGTTCCCCACAGAAAATGGAAGCACTTATTATTCCAAGGTATAGGAAAGTTTGAACTTTTTTGATGTGTTTTTCTTTTTTTTTTTTTGTTTCGTATCGCGCCAAAGTGTCACGCGCGTATACGGTTTACCGATCGCGAGGCAGACGATCGCAACAACGATCCTCGGTCAGACTTTTAGCTCATCTAAGCAACCATAAGTTTTCGAGCGACTCGGAAAAAGCGCAATCGCAAGGTGTCTCGCGCGATGGCGGGTTGGATATGTTTCAAACGAACAAACGTTCGATCATGATTTTTCCCGAATATCTCTTCGTTTCGAGCGCGAATCTCGATCTATCTTCAGTCCGAAAACGTACGAGTCGGCACTTTCTTGCTTCTACTATTTCTTTTTTTTTGTTACGTCTTTCCCGTTAAATTTCATTCGTAACCGGTAAAAGAAATTTCAGGAAATAATATTTCTACGGATATGATTGTTTTTCTACGATTTACGAGCTGTACGTCACTAAGAACTGGCGGCAGTCTGGTCCCGGCTAAGTCGATCGGGAACCTCGGATAAAATTGAATTCAGCACTTACGATGCCGCGAGAAGAAACTTAACGTCCTCCGCATGCTCGAGACTTCTGCAAAACACCATTGACTAAGATACTTGGCTGCTACGTTAGTTGCCCAAGAAGATAGTAAGTTATCGCCTTTCTACTGTATTTGTCCATGGAAGGTAGTAGTATAGTACGTTACGCCCCCGGAATCATAGTACAGTCTACTCTCCTCGTTCGTTTCACACAATAAATTCTCGAGTACTTCATTGTACTAGACACGTCGTATTTTCGCTCGTTCTCCCACCTCCCTCTCGTTTCTCTGACGATCCCTTCTGTCTCTCGTCGATTCCCTTTCCACGCGCGTGTCGGGTTGTCAGTTGGCGTAATGATCGAACGAACCTAAGTATTCCAAACTGGCACGGTAGCAGAACTGATATTGGTCCTGCAAGAACAAACGACAATTGTTTTTTTCCATAATATTTTCAGAAAATCATCAAACTACCATACGAACAATGTTTCGTGAACCAGTCACTGGAACGTTTTCGCTAGCGTTAAATGCCTTTAACCGATAATAACTGAATGTACATAATAGTCGTAATGAACGAACCTCGGTTTGAACCATCGCCGGGCGTTGCGTTCGAAGTATTCTGACCGTTTGGAAGATGTCGACGACCCCTTCGTACTGCATCCGTTCCAGCACGATGCTGAGCGTGATAAAGACACCCGTTCTGCCGACACCCGCGCTACAGTGCACCGTTATCGGACCGTCCTGGCCGAACTGCTCCTTCGTTTTGTGCACCTGCCCTATGAAGTCGATGAATCCGTCACCGGCCTTCGGGACACCCTGTTCCGGCCAGTCTGTGAACTGGAATTGTCTGACGGTGCGGCTCGCGCCGTCCCGAGCGTCCGTCACTTTGAACTCCCTTAAAATATACTGCGGCATATTGTACTCGGCGATGGGATCGACGACGAAGCACTGGTAACGAATCGATCTGTCCGACGGCCAGTACTGATGGCACTTCTCTCTGCCCATCTCCTTTAACTTCGTCAGCATGACCACGATCGTCGAGTTGTGCTCCCACAGCATCCGCCAGAAGTCGTCGGTGGTGTCGCAGAGTGGACCCTGAGTCGCTATGTAGGCACCTCGGTAACGATAACCATCGATCAGGCTTGCGTTTATGTAATCGGACCCCTCGATGTTCCGCTGCGGTTGCAGACACACTCTGGTACACTCGTACGGCAGTATGTGTACCAGCCTATTCTTGTGCTTGTTGCAGGGCAGATTCGCCGATATAAACCGCGACGAGTCCACTTTAATATTCGAGAGTTTCTTGAATTCCAGCTCCATGCCGGTTATATTATCCATCTCCGGTTGCGTGAGCTTCTGTATATGGGAATGCAAGTTTCTAGCAGGCACCTCGGTGTTGCCGCAGATTATCGTCTCGTAGAGCGCGTCGTGAATGAATATGTACTGATCCTCGGTCTGCACCATGTAGTTCCTCTGGGCGCGCAGACACGTCACGTGGCCGTATATGTCGATCATCTTCTCGTGCTTGATCCTCTCAATCATCGAATCTATGACGATGAAACAACCGGTTCTACCGACGCCGGCGCTACAGTGGACGATCAACGGGCCGCTATCGGGCAGATTCAGGGACTTCACTCTACGCAGGAACTGTAAGAACGGAGCGGGATGTTCAGGTACACCGTGATCGGGCCAGGCGGTGAACTGTAGCTGTTTGATCTCCCGTCTCTCGGAATATCCAGCTCGAGACACCTGGAACGTTCTGATGCAATAGGTCGCCAATTCTTGCACGTCGGTGATCGTCACCGTCATCAGACCGTACGTCTCGGTTCCTCTTCCCGGCCAATACTGATCGCACTTTATCCTGGTCCTTTCCTCCAGTTTCGTCATCATCACGATGGTGCTCGATCTTAGCTCCCAGCACATTCGCCAGAAATCACCGAATGTCTCCTGAAGCGGTCCTTGCGTGGCCACGTACGCGTTTTGTTTCCTATAACCGTCGCAGTAGTTCGCGTTTATGTAGTCCGTGCCAGTTATACCGTCGATCGTTTGAAGGATCGCCCTCGAATGGTCGTATGCGATTACGTTCGCGTAACGATTCTTCGACACGTTCACTTCCAAGTTCGAGTGGTCCCAAGTGAACTGTTGCCCGGGTTCGATGGATTCGTACTCCTGGCTGAACTTCACATTGTCGTTCGATTTCAAGGATTCGATGTGATTTCCTAGGTCGCTGATGTCGATCGGCGGGTGAGAGATCATCGCAGGCGTTTTGAAGATCAGACGACGCATCTCGACTGGATCGGAAGGTGCGTGGTTCGAGCTAATGTCGGCGGCCATCAATGGTCGCGTTACAGCCGCTTGGTCCGGTGCTTTGCATGGTTGTCGTCGTCTGAAACGATGGTAAAAATATCACGAATTATACGATTCGCCGTTTTAACGCTACCAGGAACGCAAGTACATGTGGTTGGGACACCCATTAAACTGAACATTTAATCGCAAAGAAATTGAATTTGAGGTCCATAAATGTCCAACAAGAGTTATTTATCTCTTACAACGGTACCATCATTTATATCGTCAAAATTAACATGGAAAATCTAACGGATCTCTCGGAAAGTAATCGACCTATCGACGTCGAACAACCTACAATTTCAAGAGCCTCTTCTCCTCTATCTGTCGAGTGTAACTTCTCGTAAAATGTATCCACGGTACTTACTTCTTGATAACAAACAGGAGCACGAGAAACACGCTGACCATCAACGCCGCTATTATCGGACCAACCACCCACACCATTCCAGGTTCTTGACCGCTTGTTTTCACGGACACTTCCGGATTTCCGTCCACCGGAGTATTGGGGTTAGGACGTCGCGGTGGTTCACCCGGCGGCACCTCCCTCATATCGAGGGACAGGTACTCGGAGAACGGTGACGAGGTGTACAGATGCTACACGGTAAAATTTCACGTGAAGTAACCCCCATCCTGGTTCAATATTCCTTCAAAGTTTTCTCGACTTACCTTTCTCGGTGTGTCGACGACCGCGCGCACGAAGATCCGATACCGCTTGTTCTTCTCGAGTTTTCGATTTTCATAGCCCTCGTATATGTCCCCGCTGCCCAAGTGGAACGTGTACGGTATATCCCTGTGCGGGAATTTGGCCGCGACATAAGGGGCGTTCTCTCTTTCCTGTTTGGCGCCCTTGCCCGTAATCATGTCCTCCGTCAATTCGTCCGGTTGCTTGTCGGCCATCGACTTGTCCTCCGGCACAACGATCAGATAGTAGTGCGAGATCGGTCCGTACTCCTCGGAGGCCTGCGGTAAAATCACCTGAATCTCCTCCCCGTTCACCACCCCGTAAAAGTCCGGCTTCACCATAGGTTTGGGCGCAGCCATTTGCGTGGTGACTGTGATTTTCGCGGGCGGTCTGTACTGTCCGTCTCGTGGCACCGCGCTGACGTTCACGTTGTACGTGGTGAACGGCTGCAGTTCGTTTATCATAGTGCTCGTCATGCTAGGATCTAATTCGATCTGTCTACGAGGAACAATCTGCGTCTGCGTGATACCCTGGGAGTCTACGAATTTCTTGACCGCGTCGAAGGATACTTTGTACTTCTTCGGGTTCAGTCTTATAGGCGGTGTCCAGGATAGAGTCATGGAATGGGTCGACGAGTCTGGTGCTCTCAGTTTCAACGGCACGTCCTCCGGTTTCACTTTCACGGTTACTTTCTCGCTAAGCCTACCCAGACCAGTTTTGTATTTGGCTGCCACTGTGATCGCGTACTGAGTGAACTTCTCCAGATTTCCACGGGGGTTGTCGTGTAGAAGATCTGATAGCCGACGATTTTTCCACGATTCGGCACCGGCTCCCACCAAACCTCCACGCTCGTGTCCGACGTGGCCACCGCTTTTACGAACATCGGCGCACGGCCGATGTCCTTCTCCGTTATTATCGTGATCTTCTCCGAGTACGGGCCACTGCCCTTCGACGTGTGCGCTCTCACGTGGAACATGTACTCCGTGTTCTCCTCGAGGTTCGTAAAAACCGCCCTGGTCTTGGTCGTGTTTCTGTCGATGGTCGTCGAGTGGTCGTTCTTCTTGTTGAACTGCACGTCGTAACCAATTATCTGACCGTTTCTGTGCTGTCTGTGAGGCTTGTCCCACGTCACACACACCGTGTCCGGTGTTTGAAAGAAGTACGAGAGATTCGTCGGCGAGCCGGTGGGTTCACCTTCGGGACTGAACCAGTATCTCACGGTTTCTTGCCCGAAGCCAATCTCGTTCTGTCCGGCGACTCGGAATTCGTAGTCCACCCCTCGTTCCACTGCGATTTCAATGAACGATCAAATCTCCAGTCCATTGATTGATACTCGAAAATCAAGAATGAACGACACGCTTGCAACAACTATATAGATGGCTTACCAAGGTCCTTGATTTTGTAGGTGCGCAGACGAGTCCCTTGAATGAATTCTTCCTTGAGCGTTTGATTTTTAATCCCGTATCTTATCCTGTAACCCAACAGACTGCCGTACGTTTGCGTTGGCTGCTCCCATTCCAGCTCGAGCACGTCGGGCGCTTTTGTCAGAACTCTAAAAACATTTTAATTTAAAAACCGTGATCATTTCTGTCCCTCACCCCAGCCAAGAGTACAGTGGCAATCAGAATTCGACGTACTTCACGTTGACCTGGGGCCTGTTAGGCACGCCTCCAGGCGTTCTGACGTGAACCGGCGGCGAACGATCGCCGTCCCCTTTTCTTGTCAGAGCAGCCACTTGCACCGAATACGTTGTGTCCGGTTGCAAACCGGTGATATTCACTTCCAGCACACCGTCATCGTGAACGTCCCGTCGTATTGGTTCGTTCAGGAGATCCTTTCCCTAGGACAACAGAATCGAAATTAAGGCCCTCGCTCGAGACACTCTCGAGTGCCATTATATCTACGTTCTTTCACGTCAATTCAACCGACCTCTTCCCTTACTTCCTGGACGTGTATATGATAACCACGTATAACACCGTTCTGTTCTTTCGATTTCGGGGGTTTCCATTCGACGTGTACCGCGGTAGAATTGATCGGCGTTGCTTTGACGTCTTGAGGATCTCCCGGCACTGGAACGCAACATATAATTAACGCGCGCCCTTTATTCTCAGCTAATGATCACACCCACAGTCACACGCCCATGTACACGTTGTATGGTCGCAATCATACGTGAAGGGGGATCAAATAATATCATAATCGGGTACAAAAAATCTGGAAAAGAAACGTAAAAATTAAGTCGAACTCAACGAAGTGAGAGAACATAGGATGTTCGGTCTGTCTGAAAATAAAGAACAATAAATACTTTCGTCGCAATTGAAGGTGAATCAAAGGAAATATCAGTGTTAATACCAGAGAAAGTGTAATATAGATGATACCGATTTGTCGATGAACAGTGTCGTGCTGTCGGACGTTCGTCACTCGGAACAGAAATGTGAAATCAGAGCAAAAGGTTCGATAAAATCAGAATTGTCGTCGTGAATTGATGAAATGATAGAGGAAGAAAAGAAAGTAACGGGTGTACGTGAAACAAACGGGATGGGTGAAATGTAAACGAATGGAAACCATCGTAGGGTGTATAAATAAAGAAAACGTAATGGAGAGTATGTACATGCCACCAATCACACACGGACAAAACGACGTACAAACAATATTACGAGGTACGTGGTACCTCATGCTCTACGTCCCTACGGCACGATAATCCTCCATTTGAATACCAATAATGCATGTTTTTATTCTGCATTCGGTTTGAGAACGCGAATGTATGAGCGCCCGTATAAATACATCATCGAGATGCAAGCGCGACGGTTACGTTGGACGATAATGCTACGGCAATATTGGAGAGTCCATGACGAAACGAAGCAATTTTATACATATGTATAAATATACTATATATAAATATATATAAATAAATATAGTACACATATGTATAGTATATAACATCGACATATGTGCAATCTACGTTCAATGGTGCTGGGTGTGGATGAAAATTGTGCCAACAGAATCGTGCATTCGTGTTTTTTTTTTCTTCTCGATAAACGTGCAAGGGTAACAAAACGTATCCTTCGTGTATTTACAGTTACCCCACATCGACAAGCCGCATCGGATAATTTGTCGCAAAATATCGTTCGTATCAATTCCGACCGTTGTCGTTACTGCTTTTATTTTTCTCTACTTTCTATTCTCTTCGACGAGCTTTCGAACCCTGGTATACGATGACTTTTTTTTCGGAAGCTTTCTTCTCCGTTCTACTGTTTTTTTTTATCGAATTTAAAATCGAAATTTCACGCAGATTCTGATTGGCGATGTAAATAATGCGTTTCATGGACGGTCCAGTATCCGGCGCCGGAAATGTTTATCGGCATCGCACAAGAAAAACGTAGATAACGAAAAAACCAGTGGCAGGAGAAAAGAAACGAAAGTTCAGCGTCGACTAATATGTACCTAGATAAATTCGTACGGAGAACAATGAACTGCAACTCTCTACGTATTATATAGTTTTGCGAAATAAAACATTTGCGTTGCAAGGAAAAATATTACGACAAAGAAAAGCCAAACACGACTGCTGCTCTCGCGGCGAGTAGTTTTCGCTCGGTCGGCGAAATCTCACCCCCGCTTGAATCCTCGATAATTCTATTAACGGTAATTAATAAATATACATCACATATCACACCCACAAAAAAATTCGCTACGCAGCGCAAAAAACAAATTTCGGGCGAGCGCGTAGTCGCAGCGTTTTGGTTATCTCAACCGCGAAAAAAAGGCGTCTGGCGTTCCGATTTTCGTTTCTGCTTGCCGGCTCTGCACAGCAACAAAAACACGGGGGAAAAAAATCGCATCTCTTAAATGGTCTCTTAGAAAAGTACGAAGACGTATATATATATATATATAAAAAAAAAAGACGAGACTAAAAAAAGGACGATATATACGAAAGAGACGGACAAAAATGAAAAAATATAGAGAAAATCATTAAATAGGAAGTAAAATTCATGGCACAACTCGAGACGTTAGCTAAGGGATACTCACTTTTTTCAGCTGCGCCCCAAAAGTCGCCAAAAAAGTGGGAAAAAAAACTCGTAAAAATTCGTGTCAAATTCGCACGTATATTGAATAGAATTATTAAGATATTCAATATGTTTAGGCATATCAGTGGGTAGCATACTACTGCTTATTATCAACGTCAATATTCGTTCTCTTTTTTTTTTCTTTTACGGTTTATATTATTACTTTTGCCTCGACTTGGACGGAAAAAAAACACATATATGAATCTCTTGTCTGTATTTCTTGTAATGCACGCACACGCGCAATCACTCGTTCGTTCCTTTCCCTCCCTTTCCACGCGCTCGATTCCAATCGTACCCTCTGCACTGTTCGTAATATTTTTTATCGCTCTGCCGAGAATTGTCGGTGGACAAAATTTCTCTTTCGAATCGATCGTTAAATAGAAAAATATCGCTTGGTCCTCGGTTGCAGTTGGTCGCAGAGAGGCGGGAGATGTGAGAATATCTTTTTTTTTTTTTTTTTGGCATGCGCAATCACTACTCCAAATATGAAATAACTAAAGGCTCATGTCCACCTGCCCCCTGCCGTCGAGAGAAAGACTTCTTCACCCGGTTCCTATTTACGCGGGTGGTTCGAAACCGAAATGATTTTCCGACATGGGACGAAAACGAGCCTAAACGACGAGAAGAGACACATTGAATGATAAGCGCGCCTGTATTCTTTCCCTCGCGGCACGAGGCGTCGAGAGGGAAGACCTATGATAAAATGTCTACTGAAAAATAAAGCCAGGAAGGATAAAACCATAAGTAGTGAGACGGGAGTCTGGACACGTGTGTGGGCTCGAGGATCCTGTGTCAACCGAATGGGATCTTCCTTCTGTTGCTGCTACGTGTTGTCTCGTTCGAGTGAATGGAAGAAAAAAATATATTCCCGTATGCGACTCGTGATACGTACGCAAAAATGTTCACGAATAGAAGACAGGGGGATGTAAGTCGGTGAAAGATGGAAAAGTGTGTGTCTTCGAGGGGAAAAATTCTTGTTCCTCTTTGATGTTCCTTTTTTTTTTCGCAACTCCAAAAAGTCACCCGCAAAAAACGTTAGCTCGATATAAAAAATCTGATAACTATATCCTGGAGGATTGTTCGGTTGAGAGAGGGGCAGAGAGAGACGGAGATCCTCTGTCGAGTGCGGTGACGAAAAAAAAAAAATATATATATATTTCCGTCTCCCTTTCTCGCTCCCTTTTTTGTTTCGCCGGCAGCATCCACCCGCGCATTCACCCACGCAAAAATCACAAAATTCTTTCGCAAAATAACGCACGTAGATGTGGTCGCGAAATTGAAGCGTGTCGTTTAAATCGGGTCGGGCCTAGGGTTCGCCCGATACGTGAGATAATCGGATCCCCGTTTTTGTTTTCTTTTTTTTTGGTTTGTTCCCGTTTGTTGGTTCCGTCGATGCGGTTGACGGGGTCGAACCAAGGGAGTCTAGAGGAGGGGGGTCGCATGCGAAACGTGAGGAATTATGGAAACGACGATTCGGTGATCGATAGTAAAAGAAAGAGGGTTCTAGGGGTTTTGTTAATGATCGCAAATCGATCGACAAATTGACGTTTCAAACTACGTAAAAGAATGAAAGAAACGTTGCGACTTGAAAACCGCAAGTCGTTTCGAGATTCAAGTACAAACGCAAAATATACATACACATACAAGTGTAATATACTCTTTCTAGATACCTAGGAGAATATATATAATATATATAGAATAAGTATCAAATATACACGATACGAAAATGTAATACGTATAAATAATATATGTATATGTATATATAATACGGTAGGTATATGTAATATGTATATGTAAAGAACGTATTATATGATACATATCGAGTAAAAATAGTAATTGAATATCAAATATACGATGATGTAACTTACAGAGGCAGAAGATGGAGAAATAGGTCGGTGTGTCTTGCATGCAGAGAACGAGGGGTGCACGTATAAGATAATATAGAGAAGGGCTGGTTATGGTGTGATATCATTCCAACGAATTTGGTGAGTGTAAAAAAATTAACGAAATCCCGTATTAATGATCTGTCCGGTGTATTCGATACGAGCGGAGAAGAACGTCCGGGCGGAATACGAGGAGACCGCCCGTTTCCATCCCCGTCCGATGGGTTTCGCTTACATTGAAAAGTTTATGCAGAGAGATTCTCTCTCTTTCTCCATCGTGGAATATTCAAAACAGAGATAAATGATCGAAGTCTCTTGACGGTATAAGCGAATCCCACCGACGGCGGGTTCTCCGCGTCGATACCGAAATACCTTTTGCCAGTTTGCCACGAACTCGTGGCCGTATCGAATGAATGGATGAAGAGATTAATGAAGAAAATCGTATATGGATATTGGTATTCAAATGTTTCGAAGTAAACGTCCCGCGGTATTTCCTATTCCCCAGCCCCGCGGCGCCCCCATCCAACCCTTCACGCGGCGCGGTTTCCGCTTGCTCATAGCCCACCCCCTCGGATCGTTGCCGCGTACGAGGTACATATATACGCGCTCGACAACGATTATATATTTCACCGATTGTTGCGCGACGGTTCCTCGAGCATCGTTCGCGTTGTATATAATATATAGACATAAATGTTCCTCGTGTCAACCCAACGGTTAACCTGACGCGTCGTCGTCCTTCGTCGTTCGCTCTCGCATCCCCGTACTCTTCTTACGCACTCGCTCACGCATTCACGCACGCACCAATTCGTCGTGATCTCGATTCATGTACGATCCCTATATACGTATTATCATCGGTAGCCCGTGAGAATATATTTTCGATGTATTTACCGCGTTCAGGGATCAGCTCGAGATCACCACGAGAAGGCGCAACATCTGGTTTGCACGACGATCGACAGTTTAGGGGGGTGTGCTTTCAGTGCTGGTGCACGATATATACTCGCATCTCGCGAGTCACGACACAACACTACGATTAGCTGGCGCGTGTGTAGATAGAACGCGAAACTATCGGATACGCGAGAAGCATCTAGCGAGTAAATATATATATATATATACCGGGGGTCGCGCACGTATATAGTCGCTCGCGCGCGTACGCACGAGACGGCTTTCGTAAATACGGGCGCGCGTATAATACACACATTCCTCACCCACGCACACGAGCTACGTGCATACGTGCACGGCGGTGTGTGCTTTTAGGCTGTTTATTCGAAGCGAAGGGGTGCTTTTCAAGTGGTGCATGGTGTGTGTATATATATATATATACATATACACACATGGCAAAAGGCGTGCGTTTGCCCGCGGTGTGACTCTGTGCGTAGGTGCCGTGGATACTAGTCGTCCCTCCTTCCTCGTATCCGTTTTTCTCATCGTGCGCGACACGCGTGTGCGACTTTACATGCGTGCGTGGTGGGTGCGAATCAAAAGAATGGTGCCCGTGAGAAAAAAAAAATGGAAAAAAAAAATACAATACAATACTATTTACCGGTGCCCCGTGCACACACTTATACCGAAAGAATACGTGAATATAGATATATATATATATGTATATATAAATAGAGAGAGAGAGAGGATCGATAATACGTTTAGAGTGATTTAATTATAATATAATAGTGGTGGTACTAGCGGCGACAATAACATTAACGAACGAGTATATACGTATATACGACGGTGAACTTTTGTGCTTGACAATGTGCGAGCTTACACGGCAGGGTGCTTTCAGCAGTGCTTTTTATCGTTCCGCCTCGCTTTGCCGAGTCTGCTCTTAGAGGGTGGACAGGCTGGGGGATCGGTCGGTCCGTAAACGGGACAATGCGTGGGAGGAACTGGGGAGTTCGGCGGACAGGGTGTGGGTGGGGGGTGAAACGAAAGAGGATCCTGGGCGTTCCGTGGTGCCGAGTGCAAAAGGTTCGAGGGAACGTCGTTAGAGACGCGTTCGTACGACTTTTTCCCCGACAATGATGCCTTCACAATGCTCCTCGCAACAAATGATTCCGATTTCGCGTCCAACCAAGGTCTTCGATTATTTTTCAAGACAAAAGAGCTGCCGTTCCCGTCCGACTGTCTCCTCGCGATCGCTACACGTTTGTTTTTCCTCCCCGTGTCCCCCGGTAAAACGACAACCACCTAGATCCTCCCCTCTGTGTGTGTATGCGTGTCGTACGACCGCGTGTCCACGAATCGCCGAGAGACAGAGAATGTGAGAGAGTAAAAAAAATATATCCCGCGTCGATCTGTTCGCGCCGATACGATTAATCCCGTATCGTTCCGCTCGAGGCGAGAACCTTTTTCTCTCGGCCTTGTCCGTCGCGTGTCGTCTCGTTGAGCCGATTAGTCGAGAACGGTCGTGTGTGTGGATGGTCGAGAGAAGGGGTTGAGAGAAAAACGAAAAAAATGGTGACCATGCGGGGACTCTGTCGGAATGGCAACCGCGGGCGAGACGGTGCCGAATAGGGGTGGGTCGTAGGACAGGGAAGGAGGAGTCGAAACGAAAAGCAAAATTTCTTCGTGCATCGGCATGCCATTCATCGGATATCGGGGGTGGTTGGGGAGTTAACGCACTTTATTGTTCAGGGTGACGGTTAGGCAGACTCGACGTAGCTCGACGGGCTTCTTTTTTTCGTTTTTTTCTTTGCTTTTTTTTCAGGGGGTGTCGGGAAAACGGGTTCCGGAACGGATTCAAAGGGTTCAGAAAAAGGGGAGTGTAGGGGGGTCTCGAGACAATGATCTCCGGGAAAGTGAGAGTATATGGTGAAATCGAGGAATCGTTAAACAAACGAAGGCATGCTCTAAACATGTGCAAACAATAGGTAGAACTAAATCTTAACTAAAGACAGAAGAGCCTTATATATCAGAGATATGTAGAAGTGTGTATATACATGTATATATACATATATATATACACATAAGGTATTTTGGTATGTATATATATATATGTATATACATATTATATGTATATAGTGAAAGAAAGTGCGTTTTATATATATAATTTTTTTTTCTGTGTGTGGTACATACGCTATAGTTTTCATATATATACGTAAGCGTTTTATTGGCAAGCTGCCGCCCTCGTTCGCAGTCATTATTTCCGACCGATAAATTCTTTTGCGACCGATCAAAGTTGCAATTTCGCGCGAAAGCTCGCGACCCATAAATGTTTTTCATAAATCTTTCGCCCCTGCCCCTTTCGAAACGAGCGGAAATACTGCCAGCGATTGTGGAATCGGGGGACGGACAGCTTGGTCTCTATCTTCATTACACGTGGCAAGAGTGAGTGAACGAACTAAAGAGAGAAACGAAACATCTTTACAGACGTAACCACGGTAACCACCAGAAAGAACATTGAGTGTGAATGAGTACATATCATTAGACAGTCGATATAATACGTTAGGTGCGAATAAATCTTAAAAACTAGCTGTTCAAAACCTGGATCATCCTCCTGCAAATGCTTTAAGGAAAGACAAAAACACGTGAGTGAGTATAATTAAAGTATTAGTCAGCGTGTTAAAATTGGGCATCCAAGTTTCAAAAGTGGGGTGGTTCCGAGTGGGTTAGAGGGTCGGGGGCTTGTTAAAAAAACCAACGGCAACGGACAAAGGGAATGTTGCAATTAGGCCCTGTAAAAACAGATAGAAAATACGTTTTTTTTTTTTGTTTGGTTTGATCGTACTTCTGTTCTTTTTTCGTTTTTTTTTTCTATTTCTGTTCGGTTGAGGGATAAACATAGCTGAGCTCAAAAATTGGTTATCAGCTTCTGAAAAATCCGTGGCTGCGTGCACCTGGAAAAAATTTCTGGGACACCACTAACGGAGCGGGCGGAGAGATAGACAGAGGATTTTCTGGGGAGGTGTTCTGGGAACATAGAATAATGCGTGGACATTCGTTGTAGCAAAAATTCCAAAAATATAAAATCTCGCCAGCCAAAAAAGTAGAGGCCAACATGGTTTCCCGTCACGTCGCGTAGGTGCCGCGGCTCCCGCGCGTCCACAAAAAATTTGGGGGGTGGAGTCGTTGGGGTTTGGGGCCAGAGAAGCGATAGGAGAGCGATGATGGACCAGCGTTAAAGGAGAGAAACACGGAAAAACCGTAGCGCGCGTTCAAAAGTTTCGTTCGCGCGACAAAAATCAATATTTTCACGACGATCGAAAAAAAGGTTCGCGAGTTTCCGCGGGCCCGTGTATTCACGGCGTAGTCGCGCGGTGAGGGTGACATTGACAGTTCCGTTTCTCGAAAGCGTGAACTGAAACGTAAAAGTGGCCTGAGAGATAGGGAAAGCTTTACGTATTCTGTACAATACAAATACAATACAGTATATACGATTCAACGAAAGAAAATCTGAATGGAATAGAATACACAGCGATAACAATGTAATGTAAACGGAAACATAGGAGAAACAAAAACAAAAAACCATTGTCGATGATAGAAGATAGAGCTCAGAGAAGAGAATTAGAGATAGAGAGAGAGAGAGCGAAAGAGAAAGAGAAATAGAGAGAAAAAAATGAAACAGAGACTCGTAAAGAGGGATAGAGTATTGAGTGTCAGTTAGGAAGAGACAGGTTCGAAGAGACGTTAGCGGAATCTGAAATCGAAAATACATTTAATACACGTGGTATCGGTGGAATTTAAACGGGGAAAACCGAACGAGAATGTTTAACCGGTCACGAGAGAGAACACAGGGCGTGTCATCGCAACCCGCACTGGAAATCGCGCGATCATCTTTCGGACTGATTTTTGGCGGGCTTTTATATTTTTGGCTCTTGCGCGACGAACTTTGTTCTGTTTTTTTTTTTATCGCGAATACGTCGCCTTTCGCAAGAGTATCTTTAAATACGCGAAGCGTGGCGCTCGAAGTTTTACGCGGAGCCATCGTTTCGACTGAACGCCCGGAAAACTACGGTTTATATGTACACGGCAGAGAGCACGCTCCTGTTCTCTTTCTGGGGGGGGGGGGGGGGGGGGGGGGGGCAACGGTTCGCAAAAATACGAGACGAAATTCGCGCGCCACTCTTCGACGGCCTGAAGTAAACGTAGAAAAGGAACGTTAAAATGAGCATGTCAGTGATACATACCGTCCTCGTGAGTTCTGACCGAGATCGGATAACTCGGCGGTCCGTCACCTACGCTGGTCCCGGCCAATACCCAAATCCGGTACTCGGTCCATTTTTTCAATTCGTCCAACACGAATTGCGTGTCATTCAGTTTGATAACCCTCGCCTCCGAGTCGGAGCGTCCGCTCTCGACGACCTGCAGCTTGTAGTACGCGATCCTCCCGTTCGAATGTTCGGCAGGCGGGGGTTCCCACGTTACCAATATGGAGGTCGGGCTGATCGCTTGTCCGCTTACATTGCGAGGCGGAGCCCCGGGGGCTGTATAACACTCAGTTATAGGGGGGAGGAGAAAGAAAACGTGAAACAAAAGGGTCAGGGAGGATCGTCAGTCACCGAACGATCGGTAGCGTATAACGCTTCGGTCCCGAGTCCCATGGATCGAAAGGTTTTCGCGAGAATTTGATACTCGTTTCATCTCGAATCTACATGTTCTCCTCTATCGAGGTATATCATTTACAACTAGTTAATTGCTCGAACGAATTCTCGCGAGCGATCGATCCGACGCGGACTCGGTGAGCTTCGAAGACGAGCCAACACGTTCGAACCTTGACTGACTCCAAGGGGGATCAAACTGAAAACATTTAACGTGACCGGTAACGGTCAAGGTGTTCAGACAGGGTTGAATCACTCAAGGAAACAAAACTCATGAGTCGATCCTTGAACAGTCGAAAAAAATTACGTGATTAGAGAACAGAAATCTCGTCCGAGACGAGGCGGTCAACTCGCGCACACGGAGCTCGAGCCCGCGCGTCGACCACGTGCGCCTTTCTTTCTTTCTTTCTTTCATTTTTTTTTTTTTTGCTTTACGTAAAGGTATAAAACGAGACAACGAAAAAACTGAAGAACGGACGTGTATAAACCATACGTTATCGAGAATGAAAAGAGGTGCCCAAAATGCACACATATATCGATGCAGTGCTTAGTGCAATTTATATGTATGATATGTACGTATATATATATAGATATATATATAAAGTGGCATCCAAAACGGCTTTCTTATTTGCAACTTGCATGCAATCATTCTCACTCTCCCACACTTCATCACGGGTTTGTCAACGATACTCTCTATCTTCCGTCTTTCTTTTCTGTTTCCCCCTCATTCCTCCCCGCGTCGCGATCAATGGTAATCCGCACGGTGCGGATATGGATGTTTTGCCTCGATTTTTGGACTGGTAACTTCTCAAGGTTGTCGCGGGGGTTTGGATATATAGCTTACGCTACATTTTGCGGGAGCGTCTAGCGCTACAGCACCTCCTACCTGCATGTGCCAGGCGGATTCGCGATCGTGCCCGTAACGATTACGAGGGCATCCCATTCCCCCTCCCTCGGGATTTCTCGGTGGGACAAACTTTTGTGTCTCTGTACGCCCTTAGTAGGAAAATCCGTCTCGTCCTGTCGGCCGATCGCGAATCGACCTCTGTGTCTCGGCACTCCTCGCTGCGTGAACTCACACCTTTCTTTTCGCTTCATCCGCTGGATCGTTTGCTTTTCTGCTTACCGAACGGTTTCGTGCGAACCGGATGCGGGATCGTCGTTGCTCCTTCTCCTCTCTGACTCTTCGCTGCCAGCCACACGTAGTACACCGTGTTCGGATACAGACCCGATAACGTGTAGTTCTCGACCACTGGTAGCTTTCGATGGTGCTTCTCCTGTAGAGCGAGTAAAACGTTCCAATTAGACCACAGTTAAAGGTAAGGGTGTATTTGAAGCTAATTGTGAAATTCTCAGAATTCGAACGCGAAACTTAAGTAAGATACTCACCTTCGCGTATGTGTCGTTCCAATACAGCTCATAGCTAAGAATATTCTCCGCGCTATGAGCCGGCTTACTCCATTGGAGCGTTACTTTGGTCTCCCCGATATCCACCGCCGTCAACATTTCCGGCTGGCTCGGCACCCCTTGTTGTGTTTTTATTTGCACGGGCAGACTCAACGGGCCCGGTCCGACGCTGGTCAGCGCTTGGACTCGAATCGTGTAGATCGTGTGCGGCGTTAAATCGGACACGGTGGTCAGCTGGCTATTGTCCACCATCTGGTACTGCCAAGACGCCATTTGTTGATTCGGGTCCGTCGTGTAATACACTTTGTAGCCCTGTACCGTGGAAAGCGTTTCTCATTGCACTACGTTCCGTTCTCTCTGTCTCGGGCGACACCCGTCGGGAAATAAAGAATCAAGAAGAACAAACCGTCACTTGACCGTTCGGTGTTTCCGGCTCGTCCCACTGTATAACCATCGTGCTGGAGCTTAATGGCCGTACCTGGACCTTCCGTGGCGCGGTACCGGGTTCTAAAACGAAGGAGATTCCTGTTGGATATTCGTTCGGAACGCTCGCCGTTCGGTACTGGACAAGCCACTCTAGTTAGTCACGGGACAGGAGAGTACGAGAATAAAACCCCCAGGAAAGACCACCATAAGAACCAAAATAACACGCGTTCCAGGTACTTAGAAAAAATAAACAAAGGACAACGGAAGAACAAATCGTAATCGTAGGGTGTCGTGACGATGCGTGTAATTTAGTAAGTGGGCGACTGAAAAAAAAAAAAAAAGAAGATGTACACAGGTGTGTCGCATTGTAGTCGATTAGTTACGAACCACACGCTCGTGGTAAACAATTCACATAAGTGTGGATGTGTGTGAACGCGCGCGTGTGCAAATGATCGATGAACGTGTTGTGCGCGGCGTGTGTGTGTGTGTGCTCCGACTACTAGATGGTGGTACTGTAGTTTGTGATAACTAGAAACTAGATAAAACACAACGGAAAATCAACCGAAAGAAATCATACAACACGGGAAAGAGAAGATTACGAAAGACGAGTACGTTTCTACAACACTCTTAATATATGATTGAACTTACTGGCACCTCCATTTGTCGATTCCGCTGTCGAAAAAAAGGTACGAACGATTATTCTTCAATGGACACTCGATCGAAAATGGCATTATGCGCTTGTGAAAATACGAACCACGGGACACACGCGGTTCTTGCGGGCCCCCCGGTTTCGTATTTTCACGAGGTTTGTGAACGAGTAGTGCGCTACGCTATATATCGAGGAAAGGTGCAATTTCGTGTGTGCTGTCTCCCCGCGTATTGGTTTTTCTCTTTTCCGAAAAAAAAAGAGACGGAGAGACGTCGGGGCTGGTTAAAAAGGGATGGAGGGGGGTGAGGGTGTAGGTTCCGAGGCCGGTGTAGAGACAGAGACGGAAAAATGCAGAACGAAGACGCGACGGTCGAAGCCGCGACGCGGTCGAATACGCTCCGACAAAAAACACTAACACATAGTGCATACACACAGACAGGGGGGGGGGGTTGGTGATAGGTAGGAAAAAAAATTTTTCTTGTCACTTACATGAATCAAATCGTGCGTCCACGGCGGACAGCATGGAAAAAAAGGTAGAGTTTTCCCTCAAAAAATTGTGTCAAAACTTGTTCCTCCTTCTCGTGGGTGCAAAAAAACATTTATCTACGTGCAAAAATCTTACGCGCTCGTCGTCCCGGTCTGACAGATACGCTATCGCTTCGTTTGCTCGACATAACAAAAAAAAAAAATCATCCAGCTCTCCACTGCTTGGTTCCTTTTATCATCATCCGTGGTTATACACCCGAGATTGCACTCGGCGACCGTATGTGTCTATCCGTGATGTGTGAACGAGATGTTAAACTGTACTGGACGTGCAAACGTCATCGAATAGTGTCAAGCGATGTTTTTGCGATGATGACACCACCTCTCGGCGACGAACATCCGTTCGAGATCGTTTGCCCGCTTCGAACACCGCCGAACGTCCTGTCGATCTCGAAAGGATCCTCGTCGACTCGAACGACGCATGGCGAAAGATGTTGCGCGCGTACTATGTCCCGCCGAACCGGGTAGCCTACGTCAGCAAAACGATCGAAAGGCTAATGGATTCGACGGGACGTTCGTGGATCTCGCGGGACATTCGTGACGTTGACGGTAATGAAAGAACAAGAAAGCATTAACGGTTAAACGGTATACTGACTTGTCTCGCCGGTGGTGACTGTCACCGGGGCGCTTGGGGGACCACGCCCAATGGCGTTGACGGCTATCACGTAGAGCTCGTACTCCGTGTAAGGGCTGAGACTTCGGACATGGTAGTACATGGTCGTAATGCCCGATATTTCAGCGAACGCCTGATTCACGTGCTTCGGCTTGTGCTGGATCACGTAGTATTGCAACGTGTCCGGACCTTTATAGGACCAGGTGAGCTTCACGGACGTCGCAGTAATATCCGAGACTTGAACGTTCTCCGGAGGGCTCGGCAGAGCTGAAAATTCATCGGGACCGACGGTTTTACGTCTGAAGTAGATAGTGCCCAGCGTTTTCTCCACGGGACATCCGTGTAACTGACATACTATCTCGCGTTCCTTTTACGCGATTGGTCACAATCGCTACATACAGTAGTACCTTCTTAATGCTCGCAGGACAAGGACCTTACATCGCGAACGCTATCTGGGACGATGAAATTCTAAGAATTACCGACTGTTTTCTTTCTCCAGCTCGCTCGCCACTGAATAGATTCAGGGTAGGACGAAAGAACATCAAGCGCGAGTGAGATATACAAAGAAAGGTCATTTATATGATGCAGCTAGGCCGTACAGTCGACGGGACACCGTGAAGCCAGCTCTAAGAACTGGTGGAATAGCCGGCGACCATTAACCGGGCAAGAAATGCGAACACTAAGCAGATACCATTGTACATCGAACGCAACGGAGTTGAAAAATGTACTGTGAAAACAACGCTCGAGTATTTCCTGGCTTTAGTATCCGTAGTTTCTTGCGGCACAGCAGTAAAGAGAAAGAGAGAGAACGTTGATCGTTCTAGCGAGCGCAACGGGTTTTCGCGAGGAGAACAAACGGAGCAAGGAAGACCGTGGAAAATGCATTGTCCGCGGTGTTCTCCGCGCGACGGCATAAGCCGATTGATTAGTCATCGAAACAGAGCACCGCCACGGCTACGGTGGAACGGCGACGACCGTGATTGATCGTTCCCCCGTTACGTAGTCCACCCTCGTGTGCCTGTACGCCCGCTAATGCGATCTACGTGGGATTTACGCGCGATTCCGATCCATCTCGATACGAACATTGAACTTTCACCATCGATGTGGTTTCTATCACTCCGAGGTCACTGGCTGCGGTGCAGGTGTAGTTCGCCGACTCTTTGATGTCGTTCAACATCAGCACGTTTTTACCAACTGGCAGACTGTCGTCCGGCGTCAGATCGGTGGCTGGATCCTTCTTCCATTTTACGAAAGGCATCGGTGCGCCGACCGCCACGCAGGTCAAGTTCAACGATGCGCCCAGCATCACCTCGCTGACCGCGGGCGGAAGTATCGAGAATGTTGGCGTTACACGTCGAACTGCGTAAACAAATCATTAATTAGTATAATTATCATACGAGTATAAATCCCAGTATACATACATACGATTAAGTAAAAATAAAAATAGAATCTATTAATTCAACATTAACTTAAATTAAACAGTTCTTAGTGCCCTAGGTAAGAATTGTTTAAAGTAATCAATAGAGACGTTGAAAAAATCGATCGTATCCATAAATTAATAGGTTGATTTCGGCATTCGATAAATTGGATCACTTGAACCATATTTAGTTACTTTAGTTTCGTTAAATTAGTAAAGAATGAAACAACGTCGCATTTGCGCGATCGGTTAAGTCGGTTATTTTATCGCACAACTGGCGCAGACAAATTCGGAGGCACCAGAACGCGAGTTACCGGAAAGGAACGCCATCGCGTCTCCGGCGTATAACCTTTGCAGTGCGATTCCACGCGCGCCCGCGCGAATCCTTTGTGCCGTTGGCTTAGTTTAATTACATTGCATTAATTTTAATTACAACCAGGAAAACGACTGACTTTGTCGGACTCAGGCTGCTCCCGGACTCACGAACCCCTTCTTTTTTTTTTTTGAATGAATTCGTTAAAGCCACCAGGAGATAAGAATCACTTTTCACGGAAACTTCGTTCAAAACAGTCCTATCGTTTATGCGTTTTCCGTCATAACGTACCTTTCACGTACAACATGGCCGCCTTCGAATACTCGGTGCCGACCGAATTATTCGCTACGCACTCGTACTTCCCTTGGTCCTGTTCGTCGGATCCGGTGATTTGTAGCGCTCCTAGAACACACAAAACGTAGGATTTTTCAATAATTTTCGTTCAACGGAAACAGGGTTAAGCATTATTGTAAGGTAGATCCGAGAGGAATACGCTTCAAAGGGGAAGCGGAAACGTCAATGGGAAAATTTGCTATTTGTGCTATCCTACTATTTTTAAAGGTGATGCAATATTAGTATTACTATTATTATATTTCCCGAGCTGTCGCTCACCGGATAGATATTTTATAACGTGTCGTGGAACCGTGATCGACTTGAAAACACGACGGAAACGCCCAAAATAAGCTTCCCTCCCTTAGTCAACCGAACAAGATCTATACTCCACGCGGTCCTCGTGGCTCTTTCGTGTCGTTTTTCCAGCGTTAATTGAGTTGGTAGCGGGTCGAGGAACGCGTCGAGCGAAGTGGCGTGGAAGCTCCCCATCCAGAGGGGGGGGGGGGGGGGGAATCCGTTTCAAAGCCCCGCTACAAACGCCGTCTATTCCACTTTCAGTTTGACCTGGCCGGTTCGTGCACGATTTCCATGATGCATCAAGCCCCTTAGCACGATACCACGATGATGAACTGGCTGTTACGAGGCGTGTGATTATCTCCGTAGACGTCACTCCTTCGGTATAATTCAACCCTCCCCAATGGATCTCCGCCTCCTCCCTGACCCTCTGCCGTCCTCTTCGTTCCTCCCTTCTTACCCCCGGGTTCTCGACTTCCGACTTCAGCTTACCGCCCCTGATTCGCAAAGTAAACACGACGGATCAACGGGAGGCCATGTTTTCCATCGATTCGACGTGGAATTTTCTTTTTTCGCCGAGACACGACGATAATCAACACCTCGAGGACCCGGGGACGGAAATTTATATATCGTAGAATTCGTCCGATATCGCCGAAGGGACAAAATTCGTTCTAACTTAGTTTCGTTTGCTGAAAAACGTCCGGCAACGATCAACTCGGTGCGTGAACAGCTGATAATTAATATCAGCCGAATCTTGAAATGGAAGATCGAAGAATTGAAGAATTCAGAAGTGAAATCGGTTCGCAGATTTTTCATATTCGTCCGAACCAGTCCGGTTGAAATATTTTTCCTACGAGTCCGTCCGACCCTATGGATTTATAGGGTTTCGTTGTAAACGTGACTTCGACGACGAGAGGATGAAGGGTGAACGGAGGGAGGCGTATAGGGAGACTAGAGAGGAGAGAGAGAGAGAGAGAGAGAGAGAGAGAGAGAGTGAGAAGGGAAGGGTCGAGGGCAGAAAACACTCCATCACGAGCGAGAAGCCGAGGCGGTTTGATATCACGTACGATCGGAATACATAATCGAGACTCATCTACAATTTCCAGTAAGCTGACCAGGAAGGAACGCGTGGTCATATTGTTATCCCATCCAGTCACGTGCACGTTGTTAGCGTGCCAGTGAAAAACTCGGATTCCCGTGAACAGCCGAACGCCGGAAACCGTTGCTCCTGTTCTAACCCCGATACCCCAAGACCGGAATCGATCGGTATTCCCGTCGAAGAACACCTCTATGATTATTCACAGCGCGTCCGACGATCGGCGCTCTCACGCTCGTACGAGAACGGTGTTATCCGGGGAGCTTTGCAACGTACTCTAAAGAGTCGTGAAAAACGCGTATATAGTAGCCTGTCGCCGCGACATTACAATAACGTAACGCCGTCCGTTTAATGTTCCCGCTTAGCGTATCGGTAATGAAAGTAGAAAACGCGAGACGGTGGGGCGTTCTCCAGCGAAACGGGCAATTAGACGGCCAACAGCGACCGAAGGCGATTAAAAGAGTTCTTTATGAATTCCGAATAATTATCGCACGCGAGCTACCACCTTTGGACAAACGTAGGTGCACGTCGGACGGGGCCAGGTGTAGAAGCGAACGGGACAACTTTCTCTGTCGCGTTAACGGAACCACGGTGCGCGACGGCCCATATCTTTCCTTCAGATTCCCGCGATAAAACTCGATGACGTTCGGAGCGTTGTACACGATCTATCTACGGTTCCCGATAACGTCGCGCAAGCACAAACGTGGGGGCTTGCTTTCATCGCGGAAAGAAGGCAGATATTGAATAAAGATGAAAATCTATCGTACTCGCTCGTCTCGGCCCCTTCAACCCCCTACCACGCAGATACGAGATCACACGACTGTGTCCCCTTTGTGATTAGATATCCTCTAGAGTCATCGAGGTCGGATTCGATGGATACGTAACGCGGAATTGCCAGGGCGAACTCACCCCCACGCTCGAGGATCTGTCCGACAGTTGGCAAATATCTGCGGTAAATTCTTACCGTTTCGGCGAATCGGCTTCTTTGGCCGTGACAACACAGGAACGTTGGCGGGGAGGAAGACGTTTTTTCGCGTGGTAGAAGCAACGGGGGCCACGTTTCAGCTGTCAGTAGGCAAGAAGGAAACATTTTTCCCCGGGTCCCTTCTCAGAGGGACGACTGCAGACGGGTATACGTCTCGGCATAAATATGTACAAATATATCGGGGATCGGGGGGAACGCCGCCGACAGAGAAACAGAGCGAGGATCGACGCGCGGTGGAAACGTCGAAACTATTTGTGTGTTTACCCGCCGATATTGAAATATCTTTCCTTATATTTAATATCACGAGTGGGGGAAAACGCAAAATGTACGCACGGTGTGCAGCGGCTCGTGCTTTATTCACTATCGCCCATTTCCATCCTCCCCTCTAAGTCTGCCTTTGCCCCGTTGCCCTTCCTTCGCCGGCGAAGATACGGCAGGAAAGGAATACAGATAGAAACCGATGTTGGCGATGACTTCGAAAGACGGTGGAGGGGAGGAGATGGGGGGAGCGAGCATCGTTCGGCTCGATTCGATTGAGATAGAATGCAAACAGAAAATATGTTTACCCCGAGGCTGCAGACTTCCGCTCGGTTTGCATTCCGTTCCTTTTCCTATCCCCCAACCCATCCATACCGTTGCTCAGCCGGAACGGAACGGCGTGGACAGGGAGAGGAAGATTTGTGTTTCGCGTCCTTTTTGCGGTCGTTTTAATCGTTTCCATAATTTTAACGGACCGCCGCCGCCGCGTACTATCGATCGGGTAAAAGTCAATTATAATTATCGGGGAAACATTCCGTACGGGAGAGGGTCGGCTCGAGTGGAACGGAAAATGGTAAAGGGAGAGCTGAATAGAGGCTCTCTCGTATATGCTCTCTGCTTCTCTCTCACCCCTTCGTATGACGCGGGAGAGTTCGTTTCGGTCAAAATACAAACGGAAAATATGTTTACATTGAACCCCGTGTGCTTCGAAGCCCACTTGAATTCCCGTTCATAGTGTTTCGGTCTCGTCGAGAACGCGGGGGCCACATACCAGATGGAAATATTTATTGTTCCGTTTATTTTATTCGATAAGTGATTTTATGGATCGCGGGAGTACACACTCGATTTGTCGATACTAATTTCTTTCCCCGGGGGTTGAAAACGCGGATCCAATATCGTAACGCAGCCGATACCGTTCGACCGATATAATTCCGATTTGGGCTCTCGTTCGCTCCGTTCGCTGGGCGAGAAAAAGAAAAATAATAAAAAATAAAAGTTCGTTCCCTGTCGCGATATTATCGCCCGGTTACTCCTTTTTACTGCCCCACTCGTGGAAAAACGCAAGGAAATTTTCCCGGGACGGTAGTACAAACGTTTGCGTTCCGGTTCGTCGATGGTTTGGGTGAGAGGGGGAGGGGGTGCGCATTAACGTCAGAAGTATCCCCGGGGGTTCGCTAATATAAGAGAGAATGACGTGGAGACAGAGGTAGATTATGCGGGCATGAAATGTCTTTCGCGAGAGATTCGAATGCGGCAAGCAGCAGCCACGTCGGTTCGCGAATGCGTTCCACCGAAAAGGAAATCGAATTACCCGTTGACGCCCCCCTCCCCATCCCGCGCACTACTTGTCGTTCCATTTACGCGGGCAATGAAACGAGCCGTTAATCATGTGCAAACGTAGCTTCTCAGTTTCTTGCGGGTACGAGTCGTCGCGAGATGGTCGCAATTAAAATTCTTCTGGTCGACGAGACAAATCGTTCCAACCAGGTTTCTTCGTCTCGACTATTCTATCGTCCACTCTCGATCCTGTCCAAACGAATTTAGAATCTATCGAGCTCGTACTACGTAACAAATTGAACGTGGCTTTTACACTCTTCGTTCCACTCGGTTCGCAGGCATTCTTCTTGCGCCGCTACTGCTGTTGATGGTCGTGGACGACGGCAGAAGGCAAGAATATAAGCGGGCGAGCAAGGTAACTTACTCAATCCCCCGTTCGTATATATAGCCGGCGGCGTCATAAGTCAACCCCCGTGGGTAAAGGGTGGTCTAATGGCCCGAGGGGAGCTTCTCGAGACCCCCCTCTCGGTGAGGAGCTGCCACGGGGAGAGTGGAAAACACGACGGGGAAGGAGATATCTCTCGTCGGCTCTTCTATAGCCGCGTAACGTGTCGGGCAAAGGGAACGTGCAGAAGAGGGGCGCCACCGGAAGAGACCGGACGCGAAACGCCAGAGAATTCCAGCGCGCACAGATGTTAAGACGAGCGCGCTCGTTTCACCTCGGGACTTGTTTCGAACTTTGCCCCTTCTTCTCTCACGCGACCAGGAGAAACTTCGGCCGAGTGATATTTTACGAATGTCGGGCCACTCGAGGAGAAACGTTAAACCATCATCCACTTCGCTGCTACTTAAAAATCATCGGGCTGCTCTGTGTTCGCGCGTCGAATCACCCAGGACGCGCGGCGTTTTACGATCCGCGCGAAGAACGAAAATCAAGTTCGGGAGGGTGTGTCGCGGGGTCTCGACGATTATCGAGAGAAGCTGCTGGCCAAACCGGGGGGAACAAGGAGACATCGTAAATAACGCGTTTCCGCGATCGCCGTAGTTACGTTCGCGTTCCGTTCGGTCGGCACTGCTCGGTTATTACGACGATTCGCCGGAGGTTCCGGCGTTTTCTATTCCTGCATTATCGTTACGGACAATTACAGAAGTTTCGAA